CAACTTACCCTCCCTTTTCTCCTGCCTCCTCCTGGCTGAATGAGGGCTGGAAGCGGGGCGGCCGGAAGCAGGGGGCGGGGCTTCATCATGTGCCCCGCCCCCTGCACCTCACCCCGGGGAACTGCGATCCCCCGCGACCCCCCCAAAATGACCTCTGGATGGGCCAATGGTCTGATTCAATATAAAGCAGCGTCATGTGTGCATTCTCCCATTGCTGCCTCTTTGGGCACATCTGGACTTCCATTCATAGACCTCCAGTTCCACGTGTCATTTGGCCCTTAGAGCAGTAGAGAGAAGGCAAAGCAAAATGTTCCTCAGAGAAGTAGCCATATATGGTGCTTGCCTTGGAGACCTTTGGAGGACGCAAAGGCCACAGGGGGGAAAACCATAATCAAGGGAAGCCACAATGTAATGATTCCGCAACAGTGCATGACAGGATGTGGGTTTTTGCACAAAGAGGGCAATCTCAGTTTGTTTTTAAGCTGGGCACTCTTTGCACAATGCATGGTGAAATCGCACAGATGTGCTTTCTGCATGAGGGCTGCCAACTTATTCACCAGTCTGTGTTCCTGTGCCTTGTGAAACAGCTCCACATATAAACACCAGCATTGTCAAAAGCCTCATCTGCCAATTTCTGCTGATCGAGCTGTTAAAGGCATTAGAGCAGGACAGGACTTTTTCCCTGGTCAGCTGGCAACCCTATTTGAAGAAGAAGAAGAAGAAGAAGAAGAAGAAGAAGAAGAAGAAGAAGAGATTGAATTTATACCCTTCTCTTCACTTGGAGTCTCCGAGTGGCTTACAATCTCATTTCCCTTCCCCTCCCCACAACAGACACCCTGTGCAACAGACACCCTGTGAGTTAGGTGGGGCTACTTCATGAGCTACTGGCATTAAAGTTGTGAGCGAGCGATTTGGCTGCTGCATAAATTAGTTTGGAGGCATCCTTCTTGAGCTAAGACAAAAATGTGTGAGCTGGAGGCTAAAAAACTGTGAGCTAGCTCACACTAACTCAGCTTAGAGGGAACACTGCTTATGAATGCATCAAAATTATGAATGCATCAAAAATTTTCAGTGGGGGGGGATGTAGGGATTTATCAATGCACGCAGAAGCTCATAGCTGAAACACCACACCAAAAGATTAGCAATGCAGACAGATGCACATCCACATACATTTCTTTTTTGCAGAACATCAGTAGGCCTATGCGTATAGAAAATACTGGGAAGAAAACACACACAAAATAACAGAAAGAGGTGGCTAACTACACATACACAGCATGCTGCACAAAAGTCAAACGTGCACACGCACCACTGGGAGGGATTCCCTAATATAGCAGCTTCTGTTTCAGAAAGACAGGCCATTTGGAACTCCAGATTCCAGGGAGAAACTTAGAGAATTTCAGAAGCATTTCCAGTTTCAATAGATGGCAGTAAACTTACCAGGAATTCTCAAGTACTGCTAAGATGGTATTCCAAGAATGGGGCTGTTTGGACGGACCTGTGAAAATGTGCTCTCTCAGCCCCTCTGTCCCTTTTATACAGAAGAAACCTGATAATGTATTTCTCAACCTCCTCCCTTGCCACACCGGTTGCTGAAGTTGCCACACCGGTGTGGATTTGCTTCTCTTTTGTGGTGGGCAGGGTTGTCAGTTGACCTGGAGAAAAAAATGCACCTGTCTCCAGCTGTGAAAAGCTTCCGCCATCCCTTTCAACACATTCATACTTTTTTTTTCCTTCCAGGCTTGTCCACAACCATAGTGTTAAACTGTGAACAGATTAAAGAAGGTACTTGACAGTCCAATCATGTTTATTCAGAAGTAAGTGCATTGAGTTGAGTGCATCTTACTTCCAAGTAAAGACCATCCAAGGTATCCTTGTGTGAGAATAATGTACCTTGTACCTAGTAAGATTCCCTGTAAGTACACTGGGAACTGCATTCATGCCATGTGAATGTAAGAACATAAGAGTACATAAGGACATAAGGGAAGCCATGTTGGCTCAGGCCAATGGCCCATCCAGTCCAACATTCTGTGTCACACAGTGGCCAAAACCCAGGTGCCATCAGGTGGTCCACCAGCGGGACCAGAACTCCAAAAGCCCTGCCATTTTTGCCCCCCAAGCACCAAGAACACAGAGCATCACTGCCCCAGACTTTACATTCAGTTGTTGGTCTTAAGCAGTAGAATAAGGTTTGAGTCCAATGGCACCTTTAAGACCAACAATGTTTTACTTAAGGTACAACCACACTTCCTCAGACACACTGAAATAAAATTTCTTCAAGCCTTACATACAGGCAGATGGGGTGATACAAGCATCAGGAAGGA